ACATAATTTCTGAGAAATCTAGGAACAATTTAGAAGTAAACACAACTGCTCTTCCACTGCAGAGACAATGCCTGGAAGCAAGATCTGTCAGTGTCTCCATCCAAAAGAACCAGCTGTCTGCTACTCTTCCTCTCAACACGAACATACACACACACTCATGCACACTCGCTCTTCTGGGGGAGATTCCTAAGGAGGGGACACAATTACATGGGAAGACAAAGTAATAGCTTGGTAAGTACAGTCTGAAGAGTGGTGACATTTTCACACTGAAGCCTGTGAATGGCACTTCCCAAAGAAGCAGGGAGGATTGTGACAAGCTCTGGTGATGGTGACACCACAGGACTGACACTGTGGAGTGACTGGGACTTCTGCTGGGGTTCTGAAAGGCCCAAAGAATGTCACCTCTTGTCCCCATTTGAACTCAGAATAAAATCTGAGAAAGACCTAGGACCCCGAAGCAGCGGAGACTGAAATACCAGCTTTATAACTCATAAAGGTGTCTGGATACTATGGCAGAGGTGTAGGGGCTGAACAAGTGGGCCAGAACTCCCCTGAAACAAGCCAGCTCCCCAGAACGGCAGGCCTCCTCTGCTGGACTGGCCACAGGATGGCAAGAGCCCAGGATTTATGCTGTCTGCAGGAAACAGGTCCTCCGGAGTTCCCTCTCCCAGACTCAGTAAGCAGATGGGTCGCTCTGGTGCCCAGTGAGGGGACGGAGAAAGCAAGAAGACTAGAAGCCAGGAGTGTTCTCCATGGATATCTCTTTACCCGAAAATGTGAGGAATGGAAATCAGTATCCTCATCCCGCCCCGCCCCCACCCCTGGGGTTCTTTTCTCTGCCCAGGACACTGCTGTCTGGCCAGCTGCACTCAGAGGGCACCACAGTGAGAGGCTAGCAGGGCAGGAGGGACTCAGGAGAGGCACTGGAAGGGAGCACAGCGGCTGCTGTGTCCTTCCCATCTTCCCTCCATGCCCCTCCCTTCCTGAGCCTTGGGATGGCGCACTGGGATAGACTGAGATCAACAAACCTAAACATGTTTTGGTTTGAGGTTTGGCAAATTCCATAACTCCAAAGTATTCCACAAATGTTTTGTGTTCTGCAAAACCAAAAAACATTGGCCAAGCACTTTCCCCCTCCTAATTTTTAAGCCCATGTGTTTTTAAAGGAAATGCAATCCGTATGTTTTGGGTACATTTATATGCAACTCATCAAACCATGCTTGTCTGTATGAGTCATTTGATGTCTAAAACTCATGGGGAAGATCATAGATTCATAAAAATTCTGTTAGCACCAGAGGGGCAATAAGTGAAGCACTGGTTGGAAGGTAAGGAACTGGATTCTGGTGTTGGCACAGAACAACCAGATCCCAGAAGATGTACAAATAATCCCTTCTATCCTCACTCATCCATCACTCTTTCCCATCTGCAAAATGACCTTAATAATTCTTGCCCTCATCAGATCCTACAGGCAGCTAGTGAGATTTCAAGACTGATTATCAGGTAATTCTGACCTTTTTAAAGAGAAAATACAAGGGCACTTGTACCTGCCATGGGTCTATATTAATCTAGCTTCTTAGAGTGCTGGAAGAGAAAAAGGTTTCTGTATTTAATTATTTATCTTTGCCCTATCATGAGACAGGGGATTTCAGGGTCATTATGTCACAGTTTCACCTGCTAGGGAAGGTCAGCCTGACTTCCTGCCCTCTGCTAGGGAACCCCTTGTTTATAGAGGGTATAGCAGGCAGATGACAAAGCCATGGGGAAGTCTACAGAGATAGGTGGAGAACATACAGGTTGTTTTATTTGGAAAAGTGAAGGTTCTGAGTACTTGAGTAGTATCTCTAAGTAAATGATGGGTTTTTAGAGGAAGAGTTCTAGTCTCCATATCTGTTGAAGATAAGTCAAGTTTAAACTATTAACATGGTAGAGCTCAAAGTTCACAGGCTTCGAGGTCAGGCAGACCTGGGAGTTACTCTGTGCTCCAGCTTTGCTATATGATACTAGGGAAGTTTCTTAGGCTCTCTGAGCCTTGGTTTCTTCATTTGTAAAATAAGGGTCATTTTAAAGATTAGAAGAAAATAGACTAAATAAAAGGTCTAGAACAGTGTAAGTGCTCAATCACAGATGATTTCTATCATTACTAATGTTACTTAAAGTAGCCTACAGCTTTTAATGGGGCATCATAATTAAATATCACCACAATACCAGAAAAATAAATAAATAAGGCATTGCAATGGGCTAGTGAGGATCCATACCTCTGCTTTCCTGGAGTCCTTACAAAGAAGAGTAGCCCACAGGACAGAACAAACAAATAACTGTCTGTCCTGAGCAGGAAGACATTCACCAGCCCCAAAGCAGACCCAGGACAAATGTCAAGGTTCCTTCTAGCTCAGTGAGGGGACAGGAGGACCCCAGGACTTGAACCAAGTTGTCACCACAACTTCCCAACCAGAGTCAAATGCTTCAAGATACATGGACTTATTCTCAAGATTAAAGTGTGGCTCCAGTTCTCAGAGCATAGCTCCAAAACTGGTCAATACAGTCTATCTTTTTCAATTTTCTGTTCTGGGTCATGCCTCTGAAAAACAAGGACTCCAATGGAAGAAAAAAGCAAAAAAAAATAATCAAAACAATCTTTGGAGTGCCAAGAAGAAAATAAATACTCAATGTCACTGAGGAGACAGAAGCAAAGAAAGAGAAAATAGTTGAACAACTAAAGTCACTAAGGTTGACCCTAACTGTGTCTGGGACAGAAATTCTTAACTTTTGGACATGGAAATTTTCAAAAACCTGTTGAAAACTATAGACCTTTCCCCAGAAAAATGCACACCTGCTCATGCACACACATTTTTCCTTATAATTTCAGGGAACTCACAAAACCCCTGGAATCTACCCATGGACTCCAAGCTAATGGATTTTAAATACCCTAGAGGCTTCTTTATGAAAGGCCATCTTCTACTGAGCACACCATTACTACTAGCAAGGTCCTTGATAAGCCTAGAATGCAAAAAAAAAAAAAAAAAAAAGAAAGAAAGAAAGAAAGAAAGAAAGAAAGAAAGAAAGAAAGAAAGAAAGAAAGAAAGAAAGAAAGAGAAAGAAAGAAAGAGAGAAAGAAAGAAAGCCTAAAATGCAGAGCCCTGAAAAGAAAGCGACAGGAAACAGTTCAAAGGCAAGTCCTGAACACGGAATATAAATAACTGGCAGGAGAGAACTGTCTCAAATGGAAAGAATAAGTACGCATCCCTCACTGGCTGAATTTTGAAGACAAAGGTCTTTACTGAAGAGGGAAGCATTTGGCCTTGGAATTCTCATGCCTGCGTTCTAGTGTGGCCACACAACTAACCAGTTGCTTGATCTAGGACACATTATTCAATTTTGTCATCTTCAAACTAGAAGTTTAGGTCAATTTTACTTTACTCAATAGATGTAACCTTAAGAAATTCTGAGGTAAATAAAATTTTATAGCAATCTAAGTGTATTTTAAATGTATCATAAGAGCTTCATAAAGAAGTGCTTCCTTAGGGGATTAAGAGTACATTTATCTCGATGAGCACTGAGTGATATATAGAACTGCTGAATCACTATATTCAACACCTGAAACTAATATAACATTGTACACTAGTTATACTGGAATTTTAAAAATAAATAAATTTTAAAAAAAAAGCAGTGCTTCCAGGGGTCCTGGGTGGTGCAATCACTTAAGTACCTGACCTTTGGTTTCAGCTCAGGTTATGCTCTCAGAGTCATAAGATCAAGCCCCGCATTGGGCTCTGAGCTCAGCGAAGAGTCTGCTAAAGTTTCTCTCTCCTTCTCCCTCTCCCTCTGCCCCTCCCTGTCCTCACTTTCTCTCACCCTCTCAAATAGATAATCTTTTTTTTAAAAAAGTGCTTCCATACATCATTTTGTAAAGGAAATGGTCACTACAGAGGATTTTTAGCATAAATCTGGATTCAAATAGAATGTGCTATATATAGTTCATGAAGTGATTCTAAATATGATACTAGATAGTTTATCTGAAAACTCTTGCAGAAAAAAAATAGCAAAGGTAACTCCAGACAGTCTCTGTCATTCAGATGTAAAGAAATGCCCCCAAAGGGGAAAATGTCTGAACACTAACGTAAATAGTTAACTGCAAAGCCTACACACTTTACAACACACACGTGTCACATTTGTGGTTTCAGTATAGTTTATATAAAATGAAATTTTTTTGACTGACTAACCTTAGATAGATCTGTACTCTCTGAGAATTTCAGTTCTCCCCTAGCTCTCTGGATTACAGATTCTGATTTTATATAGGAAGGGTGGGAAAGAAAGAATTTAGAGAGAAGCAGAATTAATGAGAAAAATGCCACAGCTGCTAAGACCATTTACAATAAGTGCAAATAGTCCTGCAAACATCAGCAGTGCCTAAGAGTTTCCCCATGTGACAATCTAACCCTAATGATGATGCTGAGGCATCAAGAAAGGTCATGTTCTATACACTGTCTTTACTAAGGCGGGCAACATATTTTGGGGACATTTCTTAGGAGAAAAATGGTTAATTTTTAAACAAAGTTTTTAGCTCTTAAAGGTAATAATTTTCTGATAATTTTTATTTGTTCACACTTCCTTGTTTCCTGATAATACAAAATAAATGAGATACCACTGTAGGTGCTGCTGCCACCTATAGTACTCATCAGAAACAGTAGCAATCTTTCAATGATCATAAATCACCAGAAAATGTGGTTTAAGTGCCTGGATTACCTAGCATGATGCAGGGAGAAAACCACCATGAGGGATCCAATCTGGTGATGTACAGTGTGTTAACAAAAATTGGAAAACTCAACCTTTGGAGGATTGGTGTTTTGATTCCCAGATCAGCTTGCCATCTCTCTTTGCCTCAGTCAGCACAGAGGCACAGTGTGCCAGTGTTCCCGGAAAAGCAGGAGTCAAAAGCCACCATGGGAATAATGTCACACAGCAGAGAAATGTTGGTAAGTCTATTTCCCGATTATTCTTACCTGTTTCTTCCAGAATCTCTGAATCCTTTAGCAAAAGGGTTTCGATCAATTTTTAATCTGGTGATCTAGAAACAAACAAAGAGCATAAATTGTGTTTACATTAACTGATTTCTTTTTTTGGTAACTCCTAGAAAATTAGCAAAAACAATCACTCTGTTAGTAACAGCTGTTGTTTTTATTTAGTTTCCTTTAAGTCTGAGATTTAAATGTAAGTTGATATAGGACTTGGGCCTGGCACACAGATGTCTGACCCACCTGACCCACTTCTCCTTAAAAACCAAGGTCTTCCCAGTATGTGACTGTAAACTCTCCTCTGCTCACCTTTCTTGCCCCCAGAAAAGGTGATAAATCACTTGCCTAGACAAAGGCATGGAAATAGAAAACTGGGCAATGGTCAAGTCCTTGGTACATGACATATAGGAAGCACTTGAAAAGCACTTGTTGAGTGAATGAAGGAGGGAGCGAGTGAGTGAATAATGAACAAATGGATTCAGTCAGTCCAATCCAATGGCATCAGGCCACCAATCAACCCACCTCAGCCTGAGAGAAACATATAATTGACTGCCCTTCCCATTTCACTTTATTTGTCCTTTCTCTGCCCCTAGATATCGTTCATTTAATGACCAAAAATGGTCTTGTAAAAGACACAGAAAGTAGCTACACTTTTATCAAGCTTGCACCCCAAGAAAAATCTATAAACAAGGGACTCAATGGGGCAGGCTACACCAGTCTCCAAGGCTCACAAGCAAATCAGAAGGCACAAACAACTGTGTGAGTCAGGTGGGATGAGTCCTCAGGGGTCATTCTGCTTCAACATCCGCTCAGCACATAAGCCCCTCTCTACCACATCTCATCATTGTCCCCCTCAAACTCGGCGAGGGTCCTACCCATCACCCTCATGCCCCCAGAATAAAACAAGCCTGACCAACAAATTCCACATGTGCTCTTATGCTTCCCCTTTCAGCCTTGGTCATGGGAGGCATTTTTGATATTTTTGTGTCTAAACCAGATGTTAATAACTCACTATCTTCAAGCAACAGAGGCGTCAGGGTTGGGGTGAGGGAGTATAGGAAAGGAGGCAAAGCACTTCAATGGAAGGGAATTGTAGAAAGAAGGGAATCTCATTACTGAAGACCACCTTTCCATTTCTGATCATTGCAGAACTTATCATGTCAGGGCGGCTAAAGTTATTTCTTATGTTGCAGATCTTTCTGAGTGCCTCTTCCATCTCACTGTGTCAGAGTGGAATTGCCCAAAGCCACAATCTTTAAAGGTCTTTAAAATGCAATGTGAGATTCTGACCAACAGACTTTGACTTGAAAGTACCAAAGTTGTTTTTTTTTTCCCCTAAAAACATTCCTTGCCTCGAGAATGGTACACTAATAATGTAGCACTAATAATGTAGCAAGAGCAATTTTACATCTATTTTATAGACCAGAGCAGGAGCCTTCAGGCCTTGGCTTTCTAAAGTCTAGTGTCTGCCCTGTGAATATTGTATTGAGTTTAAAGACTGTCACTGCTTTTCTGTTTCTGACTTAAAATTCTTTCTTTTTTCCTCCATAATCCACAGCAATAAACTGCACACCATATTTTCTTTTCAAGTTGGGGTTATAATATTTTATTTTCTCTTTCAAGTTGACTTATCCTGTCCAGCTCATTTACGATAGGGTTTTCTGATATATGATTGTGCTGCCATGATTTGGGGGCCTCCACAGACCCCTGTAAATAAAATGACATTCTATTTCATGGATCTGGGAGAAAAGATTGCAAATCTGCTTCCCACAGCTCAGTCTATCTCTGGCCAAGAACTCTGTGTGAAGATTTAATAGAAAAGTGCCACCAAATGTTAGGAAAAACAGCACCTCTATACTTGTTTCAAAGCTTTTAATGGAGATTTAGAGAGCTTCATGTAGTGTGGTTGCATACTCATTATTTATTTATTATCAAGTACCTTTATGTGCAAAGCAAGGTGACAGGAGGCACAGGTGACAGTGATATATAGTCCATATATGGCTGTGTATTGTCTGGTTCCCCCCACCCCAGAAGCTTATAATCTAGAAGAAAAAAGTAAACATATACACTAACACAAAACAGAAATTGGTAAGGTTTGCAAGGAAGGCAAAGTGCCATGAGAGCTTAAGGGGAAGTAGCGATGAGTCCCAAGTTGAAGGGCTCTGAGGTTTCACCTTAGAGATAGCACATGACCCAGGCCTTGAAGGATGTGCAGGACTTTAATGAAAAATGAAAAAAGGGAAGAAAGGAACAGTGAAGCATGTCATAAGACATGTCCTACGTAAGCCAGAGCATTGAAGTAGAGAAGCATGAAGGAATGAAGTGCGCCAGAGAAGCACTAGAGTCCAATCTGGCCAGAGTGCAGGGTCAGCGGAACAGAGCCAGAGAGGTTGCCCCAAGGCCATATCCCAGAAAGCTTTCACTGCCCTGCTTAGTCATTTATAAAGCCTAGAGGCAGAAGATAGCAATTCAAACAATGTAACCCAAACTACCACCCCAGTTGATGCTCGTGCTGACAACTTTGCCTTTGTCTACCAATACCAAGGGTAACAAGGACAATAATTTGGAGGAATAAACCAATATATTTTCAACCTTGATAATCCATAGTCTCATGATTCCCATATCAAGAGCTAGCCTGGGGGGATCCCTGGGTGGCTCAGCGGTTTAGAGCCTGCCTTTGGCCCAAGGTGTGATCCTGGAGCCCCGGGATCGAGTCCTGCGTGGGGCTCCCAGCATGGAGCCTGCTTCTCCTTCCGCCTGTGTCTCTGCCCCTCTCTCTCTCTTTCTGTGTCTATCATGAATAAATAAATAAAATCTTTAAAAAAAAAGAGCTAGCCTGGTAGCCTCAGATCTTACAAGAGTATGTCATATAGCATAGAAAAGGATGCAAATGACAGTGGTCACAAAGGACAGCAGGTCACAAAGCCTGCTGTCCTCTGGAAGATAAGGATGTAACATAAGGTGAATGCTTATCAAATGGGAAAAGAAGTAAAAAAAGCTTCCCCTTCCACCCCAGCTGGTGTATGAAAAAAAAAAGAGGAAACAGATGAAAAAGAAGCAAGCAGGTAGATTTACATGTGCCTTAGCTCCCCACTCAAACAAAGATCGAGGGGTGCAGGTGGTGAGCTTCAGAGGAAGACTGGCAGGGCAACCTCTGCACACACACAGGGCTGGCTGCATCAAAGTAAAAATGCTGCCTGGTCTGAAGAATCAGGAAGAGGACCAGGTTAGCATCTCCAGGCCTCCTACCACCCTTCTGTGGTAGGTCAGAGACTTAGAAGTCCTCATATCCCATGACAGGGAAGCCAGGGTGACCTTAACACAGAAGTGCTACAGCCCAGGCAGGAGCCCAACAGAGGACCTAGATGAGCACTGAGGTGAGGCTGAGCCATCCAGGGAGGCCCAGGAGGCCCAAGTGAGGCACAGACACAAAAGTACAAGCTCAGCCATCCTCTATCAGTAGAGCATGTCCACACAAGGAACCCAAGGCCCAGACCAGACATGACGGTCTCCAGCAAGGGCCAGTGAGGCCCATAGCAGAGGGACCCACAAGAAACCACATGAGGACTCATAACCCCCACTACCTCTGCCCTATGCACACACGACACATCTAGAGGCCATCTGGAGTAGTGTAGGAGGCTCATTTGAATAGTTCATTTTCATCCCTACTCCACAGTTGTGTGTATCAATTACACCCAAATATGGCTGTCAGCCTCCATCTCCCCACTTTTGACCAGAACACAGTCATCTTTTCACTCAACTACTCTATATAACCTTTGGACTAATCTCTCTTCTTCCACTTTTGTCCCTGTCTGGTCTCTTCTCTACACAGCAACCAAAGTGATCTTTGTTAACACGTATAAGGACCACATCATTCTCATCAGTGACTATCACTCTACTCAAAACTCAACCCAAACTCCCTGGTTGGCCTTGCAGAGCCAGCATGGCCCCAGCCTACCTCTCCACCCCCACCCATGCTCCTCTACACCTGGCTCACAGTCTCCCACCAAACTCAGATGCTCTCAGGCTACAGTGTGTCAAACTCTTTCCCTGCTCAGGCCGCTCACACTCAATCTACCCCTGAACAAAAATGTTCTTTTCTGCACTCTTCACATAGCTGATACCTCATCCTAAGTCTCAGTCTAAATGTTACCTCCTGAGAGAGATCCTTCTTGATCATCCCTCCAAAATAGGATGCTTTCAGGTAAGAACCATGTCCATTTCCTATACCATTTTACTAAGAGCCTAACATGACATGCTACCTGTGCTCAATGAATATTTGTTCAGTGAGTGAATGAGTGGTGAGTGCATGAATGAATAATGTGGGAAACAGGGATCGCCAGCCCCAAAGCCATAACATGCCTTGGAAAATACAGACCAGACAACTCCCTTGACCCTATCTGCTTTCACTGCAGCATTATATAGACAGAAGTCTCAAGTGTCCTACTAAGCAGAACAAGGTCTATTAGTAACTGCCCACGCAGCTAAAGTTATTCTACAGTGGTCATGTTCAAACTTACTCCAAGGATAATGAGGAGACATGGAAAGTACAGGGGTTGGGGGAGCATTTTTCTTCACTGATTTGATTTCCATAACCTTACAGTTTTTTTGTGGAGTTTTTTGTGTTTTTGTTATTTTTTTTATTTTTTTATTGGAATTCAATTCACCAACATATAGCATTACACCCAATGCTCATCCCACCAAGTGCCCCCCCATTGTCCATCACCCAGTCACCCCAACCCCCCACCTACTTCCCCTTCTACTACCCCTTGCTCATTTCCCAGAGTTAGGCGTCTCTCATGTTTTGTTACTCTCACACTGATATTTTCACTCATTTTCTGTCCTTTCCCTTTATTCTCTTTCACTAATTTTTATATTCCCCAAATGAATGAGACCATATAATGTTTGTCCTTTTCCAATTGACTTATTTCACATACTGATTTGCATAGTCTGCATCATAGAAGACCATAGCACATGAAGAGGTGGTTGCCGGCTTGCCACCTTTGGTTTTAATCATTTTCACTGACTTTTTGCCTAGTAACATGCAGGCAGT